TACAGGCAACTCTTACATGAACATTTACAGACACTTACAGACATCACATCAAACAGACAGCCCGACTGTGAGACAGGATACTGGGCTGCATTCCGACAGGTGTGGGGATTTGGGGATTAGATTTCTTATTGTGGGGAAAAAAAAGTTTGTCTAATCCCAGAGTATTTCTCACAGTGCCGCAGAAGGTGCATCTCCGACTGTGTTGCTCTCCGCTGGCAATGGGAGCACAACGTGTCCTCTCTGGACAGACAGGTCCAGAGACAGAGACAGCTATTTTATTTTGACTCCTCTTTGTTTTCCTGGCTCACATTGTACCTGTTTAAACAGGACTTCTTTCAGGAGTCTGGGTTCTCTCTTGACAGAAAACCCCAAAGGACACACCATAGCAAACGTTTAATTAAAAATCCTAATTATAAACAGTTTTTAAATGAGAAACAAGATTCACTCTAATTAAAGAGCACTTGTCACATACTAATAACTTGCCTCCACACACACACACAGTTAACTGTGTTTCTGTTTCTGAGGAATGTCCATGTGGGGCCCACAGTGGTGTTGGAGTCTGCTCCTTTGCGTGCCTGGTGTTTGTGCTGAGGGGGCTAACTCTAATCTGTGTGTGTGTTCCAGGCGTGAGCTGGCCTGAGGAGGCTCCCGTCAGCAGCCGGAGAGATGATTAGGTTTCTGGGTGAGCGTCGGACGACGTGCTTATAACGCAGGGAGTTTGAAACACGCCGGGAAGAAGAAATATAGAGGTTTGTATCCTGGACCGTGCAAGGTTTTCTCACCTCATTTACAGCTGCAGCGAAACTTTTGTTCTGAAAACCGGGAGGCGTTTAGAATTTGAATCCTGTCATCAGTCTGATTTAGACAAGCGTGCGCATGTTGGAAGGGAGGGAGGGGTTCACTCTTCCTGTTGGCTTTCAGTGTGCAGTACAGTGCTGCCAGTCCCTTCCTCTCCTTATGTTGAAGTGCCCAAGGGCCCCTGTGCATTTCTCCCTCTGCCAGGGACTGCAGTGGCCAAGGAGGAGAAGACAAACAGTACAAGGGGTGAGAGAGGTTCTGCAGTGGACTGGCGTCCCATCCAGGGTGTATCCTGCCTTGCACTCGTTGCCCGGCTCCCCCGCCACCCTGAGTTGGATGAATTGGTTAGAGGATGGATGGTGAGAGAGGTGGACAAGAAGAGAGAGGGACAGAGACAGGCACAGGCTGCAGCAGAAGGAGGTAGGGAAAGAGGCCGGCATCCAGCTGCCTGGGGCCAAATTCAGTGCGACTCCCCCTCTTCTGCTGCTTTGTCACTTCGGCCGCCCACTGGAGCTCAGCAGGAGTGAGCCTGGCCAGTACCTGGATGGGAGACCTCCTGGGAACAACTAAGGTTGCTGCTGGAAGAGGTGTTAGTGGGACCAGTAGGGGGTGCTCACCTTGTGGTCTGTGTGAGTCCTAATGCCTCAGCATAGGGATGAGGACACTGTACTGTAATAAAGGCTCCGTCCTTTGGATGAGACGTAATACCGAGGTCTTGACTCTCCGTGGTCATTAAAAATCCAAGGGTGTTTCTTAAAAAGAAGAAGTGATACCCCTGGTGTCCTGGCCAAATGGCTGGTCTTACCCTGGTCTTTACCAATCATGGCCTCCTAATAAGATCACTTTATTGGCCATATACAATTTCTTGTATTAGGAATTTGTCTTTTCACAGACCCCAACTTTCTCTCCATGAGACACACAGACAGGGAGAGAGAAGCTGGGGGTCAGAGCATGGGGTCGGCCATTTATACAGCACCCCTGGAGCAGTTGGGGTGAAAGGCCTTGCTCGGGGGCCCAACGGAGTAGGATTCCTCTGTCAGCCACGGGATACGAACAAGCAACCTTCCAGCCACAGATCCTCAGCCACAGAGCTGCCGGAATCCCCCTCTCTGAACTGGCTTCATCACTCTGCTCTCCTCCCCACTGAGAGCCGCTGTGTGGGGAGAGGACTGGTGCACTCTGACTGCTGTCACATCATCCAGGTGTGGGCTGCACATTGGTGGGGGTGGAGGGGATCCCCATTACCCGTACAGCGTTTTGAGTGGAGTGTCCAGAAAGGTGCTATATAAGTGTAGGGAATTATTACTGCTGCTTCATTTCTGTGACTTGAGTATCACCCGAGCTTTTCGCAGAGCAGCACAAAACATGACTGTAAAGAAAAAAAGCCTGCCCCATACTGCCTGAGCAGTGATCTCTCTGTCAGCTCTGTCATGGTAAGGCAGATTTGTGAAGTCACTTGCTCACACTTTTCTGTGTCTCTCTGCATCCGTGCGGAGCGGCTGTGCAGTGGTGTGAGTCGCCCCCTCCCTCTCTCTCCCCCTGTGTCTCCCAGCCTGCTGACGATGTCTAAGGCAGCGGTGAAGAAGCTGCACTGGCGCTCCAAGGTGCAGGAGAGCTTCGTTCCTCTGGGCGGGGCCTCGGGGGAGCTGGGCGTGTCCATAGGAGGAGGGGCTGACTACGGAGAGTTCCCGTTCGTCACGTCCGTGCAGGGAGGCGGGACCAACGTGGGCGACGTAATCCTAGAGATTGGGGGGACGCCTGTGCTGGGGATGACGTTGGGCGATGTTCGAGGAGTGCTTAACAGCTGTCCGCACCCCATCCGCATCAAGACTGTCTCTCCAGGTAATTCTGTCACCTCCTGTGAAGACAACCAGGCAGTGCTTCAGCAGTTCACACTGTTCGGTTAACCAGCAGCATCTGAGAGGGATATTTGATAGGTACACAGGCATGTGTTTGGACTGTGGGAGGAAACCCACACAAACACAGGGAGAACATGCAAACTCCACACAGACAGCACCTCAGGAATCGAACCCAGGCCCCCAGTGCTGCAAGGCAGCAATGTGCCGCACACAGACTTAGGGAAGCTAATCCGATGGGTTCCAAAAACACTGAAATGGTACAGAAAAGCGAATTAATTTGATTTTGTATTGTATTGTGTCTGGTTGTGTGCCTGTCCAGTTGTCCATTCTGCAGAATGACCTCATGTCTGGCAGCTGGCTGACAGCTCGGTGTTTGCAGAGCTCAGCAGAAGCAGGTGGAGAAAGAGAGACATCAGCTCTCTTTCTCTACCTCCTTTTTCTCTGGGGGCTCCGAGCAGAAGAGGAACTGCCGGGGAGCCCCGGTACTCCAGTACCCCGGTGCACATAATGATGACATATTTATAAAGCACCTTTTCAAACCCAGGGACACTGTACATACAGTAGCATTAAAGAAAAAGACCCAAAAAAGGACAAGTGAAAAAAAACCAAACAAGAGCAGACAAGTTTATACAGATGGAATGAGGGGCCAGGAGCAGGCTGTCCTGGATGTTATAAGTGCATGAATCAGGCACTCAGCATCGGACGTTGAAGCAGTCAGTATGATCCTGATGAAACAGCTGCACAGGGCCCAGAGTTCCCAGGTGTGTGTACATGTCCGTGTGTCGTGGCACCTCGGAGGCCTGGTCACCACAGTCGTCAGGCTTTCTGAGACTTGTCCCCCAGCTATGGAAAAAAGAAAATCCCCTCTTGTCCCTCTAACAACACAGGTGCCTTTAAGCAAAGGTGAATTTTTCACCAAAATGTCAGGTTGTGAGGCCTCTGTCTTCACTGTGAATTCCGAGTCGCCTGTCCGTTGAAAAAGGACAAGTATTAAACCTAAAGAAAACTTGGAAACCCTCTACTGTAAACTCACCAGCACTCTTTGGTCTCCAAACACAGATAGCCTTCCCAGCACCAACCTCGCGTGCTTGACGTTGAGGCTTAATTAACGGGGCTTGTGCTCTGTTCATTAACAAGCTGCACGTGGATTCAATTAACTTTGGGCTCCCCCAAGTAACTTCAGTTAACAGCAACAGGAAAAGAAATGCAGTTCAAGCTCAGAATATTCTGCTGGGTAAAAGCAGTGCAGGATCCTAGGCCTACAGTGGAGCCCTCGCACAACTGTACTCATGTGTGTGCGCACGCTGCACTCTGTACTGTGCTGCAGTGGGATTCCCTCACTAGGACAGCTGTGTCCCGAGCTCTGTGGGACAGCTAACGAGCAGCATTGGCGTCATCGCTATGCCAGAGCCTGCGGGTACCAGGCGGAGGTGGCACGGCAGAGGAACAGGGAGCAGTCAGGTGCATGCTGGGTAAAAGGAGTTACCAGACAGGGTGGCAGAGGAACAGGGAGGCATGCTGGGTAAAAGGAGCAACAGACAGGGTGGCAGAGGAACAGGGAGGCATGCTGGGTAAAAGGAGGACCGGACAGGGTGGCAGAGGAACAGGGAGGCATGCTGGGTAAAAGGAGTTACCTGACAGGGTGGCAGAGGGATGGCCGGAGGAACAGAGAGGCATGCTGGGTAAAAGGAGCAACAGACAGGGTGGCAGAGGAGCAGGGAGGCATGCTGGGTAAAAGGAGGACCGGACCGGGTGGAAGTGGGCCTCACTGTGCAGACCGGGCCCTGCAGAGGTGTGGAGCTGGCGAGACGCGGGTGTCTGTGCCAGGCAGTGGTGTGACGGACTTTACTCTTCAGAGAAAGAGCTTGTGTGTCAGTCTTCTTGAGAAGGAGGTGGGCAGATGGGAGGCTAGGTTTATTTCCAGGTCTCTGAAAAACTATGAGAGCTTCAGTTTGTTTATTGTAGGGTCTTGTGCTTTATCTATATCTAGGCTTAGGAGTGTTTTCACATTTTTTGGTGCTTCCTTCTCTTTTTCACATTACTCACAATCTGCATTGCTCTTTATTCACAGGCTGGTTCAGATTAAGTATCCTCGTTGTTTATTCTTTAGACTTGTGAAGTTGTATGGTTGTCCTCTCTATCTAACAGAAGATCTTGCCAGCTCTGTCTGTGCTGAAGTAGCCCAAGATACTGGACTCTGGTACAGCTGCCTGCCCAGGTGTATTCAGCAGCAGACATTCTGTGTGTATTGTAGCCCTGCCCTCTCTCTCTGCCCTGTGCTCAGTGCTGTGTGTAATGTCTGTTGCTGGACTCCAGACTCTCTCTGCCCTGTGCTCAGTGCTGTGTGTAATGTCTGTTGCTGGACTCCAGACTCTCTCTGCCCTGTGCTCAGTGCTGTGTGTAATGTCTGTTGCTGGACTCCAGACTCTCTCTGCCCTGTGCTCAGTGCTGTGTAAGTAATACCTGCCTGTGTCCGTGTGTCCTACAGGCTCCACTCTATGCAAGGACCTGCGGCTGTACCTCAGTAAGTGCTTCACCCCTGGGTCCATGGACAGCCAGCTCCAGCAAGTCATCCGGGAGAACCTGTACCTGCGGGCCGTGCCATGTGAGTGGACAGCGCAGGGCAGTGAGTGACCAACTGTACCACAGAGCCATCGGCACTGAACATACTGTCACCCTGTGTGGGGGTGCAGCACCGTCTGCTGTTAGCAGAGTGAAGGGGGTTGTAGGTGCAGTTGGCTGGAAAGTTAAGTGCTCTGGCGATCTGCTCTGTGTCAGGTGCAGCCCTGTGAGAAGCTGCGTGTCTGAGTGTGTCTGTTTGCTGAAGGTGTGAGCAGAGTTACAGGGGAGGTCATAAACAGAGCAATCCGTCATCCTGGCCTGTAAGCCAAACCAGATCTCTTCACAAGTCGAAAGTTCAGCTGGAAGAGGGAGCTGCTCTTGGCTGGATGCATTGGACCGTTTCCATAGCAACCTACTAGTGTACCATGCTGTTCTTTTAATGAGAATGGCAGCTTTCTCCCTCCATCTCTCCCTCTCCCTCTATCACTCTCTCCCTCCACCCCCCTCTCTCCTTCTGTCTCTCCTGCCTCATCTCTCCTTCTATCCCTCCATCTCTGCTTCTCCCCATCCCTTTCTCCCTCAATCTCTCCCTCTCCCTCTATCACTCTCTCCCTCCACCCTCCCTCTCTCCTTCTATTTCTTCTGCCTCATCTCTCCCTCTATCCCTCCCTCTGTCTCTCCTTCTCCCTTTCTCCCTCCATCCCTGCCTCTCCCTCTGTCTCTCTCTCCCTCCATCCCTCCCTCTGTCTTTCCTTCTCCCCATCTCTTTCTCCCTATCCTTCTCTCTCTCCCTCACTGTCTCTCCCTCTCTCCCTTTATCCCGCTGTCTCTCCCTCCCTCTTCCTCTCTCTCACCCTCTACCTCCCTCGACCTCTCTGCCTCTCTGCCTCTCTCTCTTTCTCCTCCTCCCCTCTCTCTCCAGCTCTCTCACTGCCTCGGCCCCAGTCTCTCTTCCCCTCCACTCTCCCTGAACGCTCCTTTACTGGCAGGATAATGTGCTGTAGTTGTGTTGCCAGAGTGGTTATGCAATACTCTCAACAGCACATTCCATGTTAACATCGTGACCGTTTCTTCAGACCAGCAAGCACACTGAGTAGCTCCTTGCAAAGTGATCAAAGAAATACATTAAAGGCAGACTGAAAAGCAGCACCATGGTAGAATCAAAAGTTGAAATCACACATTATGAATAAGGTAAAATAACAGCAGTATACGATAATAAAAATCAGGAAAATAATACATGTTGAGCATATGTAATTAATACAGTACGTAAATTATAGAACACAGCTCAGCTCCTATGGAGCCCTCAGACTGGGAGAGCAGCCACAGACTGGACAGAGTGGTCACTCTGAGGCCCTCAGACTGGGAGAGCAGGCACAGACTGGACAGAGTGGTCACTGTGATGCCCTCAGACTGGAGCAGGAGACTACAGACTGGTCAGTGTGGACACTGTGAGGGCCCCAGACTGGAGCAGACTACAAACTGGAGAAAGTTTTGTCACTGTGTGGCCCTCAGGCTGGGAGAGCAGCCACGGACAGGACAGAGTGGTCACTGTGAGGCCCTCAGACTGAAGCAGGAGACTACAGACTGTACAGAGTGGTCACTGTGATGCTCTTAGACTGGGGTATGAGACTACAGACTGGTCAGAGTGGTCACTGTGTGGCCATCAAGCTTAAAAACAGTGCAATAGACTGAAGAGAGCCGTTCATTTTTATTCTGGGATTTGATTCTGCCTCAGGAATTTTGTAACTGTTCTGTTGTTTAGTTGACTGTAACTCTTAGTCTGTCTCACCCAAGTCAGTCCTGTTCAAATCTGCTTCTTTGGCACAACCTCACATTTGCATTGTTGCCAAAGTAGTTTCAGAGCTGAAAACCAAGCAGTACATTATGTAATAAGCAGTTGGTGGGCATGTTTTTGATTTTCAGAGATAAATAAATAATACAGTAAGTAAACAAGTGAAATACACAGGCAAAAAAGAAATGAAGAACTAGTGTTAACTTTTGTGGATTTATATGAAGCTTTTTATCTTCAAGGATCTAAAGAGCTTTCCACAAACAGTAGATATTCCTTACTGAAGTGCAGACCCACCTGGGAGGCACACAGTGGCCATTTTGCACCAGCAGCCCCACCTGGGAGACACACAGCAGTCATTCTGCACCAGCAGACTCACCTCGGAGACAAACAGCGGTCATTCTGCACCAGCAGCCCCACCTGGGAGGCACACAGTGGCCATTCTGACATACTGTAGGGATGCTTGTGACATCATATCCTGTTTGTGACATCACATCCCATGTCACCACTGTGTCGTTTGTGTTTCCCCCGACCCTCTGGAGTCGCAGTCCAGGTGTGGACAGTCCAGTCTGCTCTGGAGCCACTGCCCAGGTGTGGACAGTCCTGTCCTCTCTGGAGTTAGTCCAGGTGTGGACAGTCCTGTCTGCTCTGGAGCCCCCTCCCAGGTGTGGGCAGTCTTGTCCTTTCTAGAGCTAGTCCAGGTGTGGACAGTCCTGTCCTCTCTGGAGCCGCAATCCAGGTGTGGACAGTCCTGTCCTCTCTGGAGCCGCAGTCCAGGTGTGGGCAGTCCTGTCCTCTCTGGAGCCGCAGTCCAGGTGTGGACAGTCCTGTCCTCTCAGTCAAATGTCCTCTGGGTATGTTTCCGGGTGGAGTGTTCTTTGTTTTCACTAACGGCTCTGGGAAGTCAGGAGGTCTACAAGGACAGGTCTGAGCCGAATCAGTGCTCACTCTCCCACGCACCGATGAGCGCCTGTGTCCCCGCCGGCCTCGGCGCTGAAGTTTCCTCCTCTCCTGGCCGCAGGCACGACCCGGCTGCCGCGGGACGGGGAGATCTCGGGCGTGGACTACAACTTCGTCTCCGTCGAGGAGTTCTTCTCCCTGGAGGAGTCCGGAGCCCTGCTGGAGAGCGGCAAGTTCAAAGGTGGGCGCAGGGCAGAGCTGGACCTCACTGCTGGGTTTCGGTCTGGCCAGTGTGCCTACCCGGAGGGGAGCAGGACTCCCCCTAGAGGACAGAGCGCGTGTGTGCCGAGGGAGGGGCCGGCCTGTCGGGTCGGCTGGTCGGAGCGCTGGGCAGCAGTGACCCCTGGTGGCCGGCTGGGGGCCGGCAGCCTCTCGGTGTCGGTGTTGAGAGCTGCTGCTCTCCTCCCCTGTCCTGTAGGAGACACATGGCGTGGACAGTGCGTGTTGTCGCAGTGCCCTTGCGCTGGTGTGAGAGCCACGGCGGGGAACAGAGCCCGTTCACACAGTTTGGAAATCAAATGTGTGTGTGTGTGTGAGAGAGAGACACACAAAGACACACAAAGAAATGTGAAAAGAAATCTTCACATTATCACATCACTTTCATTAACCTCTTATCCAGTTCAGTTTCACGGTAGCCCAGAGCCCATCCTGGGAATCTTGACATTTCAGGTTGGTGTAAAGACATTTGCTTCACAAGTGCATGTGAGTTGCCTTCCCATCTTGTTCCTCCAGTGGACATACTCTGTAGGCCCTGATGCAGACGCTCCTACATACGGCCGAATACTGACACTGCAGATCAGCATCCATAAGGCCTGTTTTTGTGAAAGATGTGACACAGGAAGTCTGTGTCGGGAAGCCCCCCAGGGAGAGTTTGCATGTTCTTGTTCGTGCTGTGCTTGTTGAGCTGTGCTTGTTAGTGCTGTGCTTGTTAGTGCTGTGC